CAGAGCCGTTCTTACTTCGCAATTAGAATTCTGAGCGGCGTCTGAATTCAGCAACAAAGACACACCTGATCCAAAGGCGTTGAGGCAAGCGCCTACCTGTGTCTGTGCCAGTAGCACATCAGTATTCGTCACGCTTAACCATTGATGGGCTTAGCACCGCCGCTAATTGTTTGTTAAGCTTTGGTGGGCTCAATGCCGCTAACTCATTCTTGACTTCGTATTTTACCAGAAGTTTAGTACGAATGTCCTGACTCTACGGGATTCAGTCTGGCTAGCATCGAGAACCATATCTCGGGTGTTATTGATGCCTTGACTTCACCAAATAGTTCTTTGGCCAGGGATTGTGTCTCTGAGGCAAGAGTCGAATTCCGTAATCTCAGTGATGGGAGGATCGGCAAATAACACGCTACAGGTAATTGGATGGTCGTCGTCCCTAACTTCAGAGAGTGCGGGCGCAACTAAAAAGAGACAAAAATGAAAGAAAAGGCAGAAGGGAACCGTCATTATGTCCTCTCTTTGCCAGGTATATTGCGTCGACTGGGTCAACAAGAGGACATACCTGATATGACACCCCGGTCAGTATTTGTGACCGTCAGTCCTTCATTGCCTTGGATTGCGGCCAGTGAGAGAGGCGCGGCCGAATCCTCTATCAACTACCTAGAATTCCTTGAGAGCGATTTAATTTCCTGACCCCCATTTTGAAAACTTAGGTGATCGGCATCTCTGGAAAGAAGCTCGCGAATATAGCTAAACATCTCTTGGCCTGCCTCTAGATTGCCAGCACCTCGAAGATGGTTCCCTCGAAGATCGTGAATCCGCCGAAGAGCCAAAGGTATGCCGTCTGCTTTCTCGCGAGCAGTCGCGTGAGCGGGCACGCGGGCGATTTTGCGAGCGATGTTGCGAAAGCTCGCGTGTATACGAGGTCTGTTCAAAAAGTATCGCGAATTTTGAATTTCCACGGGTTACGTATATTCGATTTTCGATTTTTTTGTGGCGTTATGTTGGTACTCATGTCTCTCACTTATGCCGACAAGTTCGGCCATTTTGAATGTTCAGTTAATTTTTGACAGCTGCTTTGCTTGCACGTGTTTTGGTCGTCTTCGATTTTTGCCTATTCCAAAAAATGGATCAAAGAATCTGTATCAAATTTTGTGTGAAAAACAAAATTAAGTGCGCGGACGCATTCCGAATGTTGACTGTGGCATATGGTGAAGCTACCTTGGACCGAAGCAACGTTTATCGGTAGTACAAAATGTTCTCAGAGGGCCGAGAAGTTCGGCCGAGAAGTTCGGTCGAATGTGAAGGTTTTGCTTACAGTTTTCTTCGATTGCAGGGGCGTGGTGCATCATGCAGTTCTTGCCACAGGGTAGAACGGTCAATAAGGAATATTACCTGCAAGTTATGCGCAATTTGCGCGAAGCAATCCGCCAGAAACGCCCGGATTTGTGGAAGAACAAAAATTGGCTTTTGCACCATGATAACGCCCCTGCTCACACATCGTTGCTTGTGCGCGAATTTTTGACCAAAAACAACACACTAATGATGCCGCAGCCACCGTATTCCCCAGATCTGGCCCCCTGTGACTTTTTCTTGTTCCCGAAACTGAAGAGGCCCATGAAAGGACGACGCTACGCTACGATTGAGGAGATAAAAACGGCATCGAAGGAGGAGCTGAACAAGAATAAAAATATCACAAAAAATAATTTTTTGAAGTGCTTCGAGGATTGGAAAAAACGTTGGCACAAGTGTATAATATCTGATGGGGATTACTTTGAAGGGGACAAAATAGATATTCATGAATAAATAAATAATTTTTGAAAAAACACAAAATTCGCGATACTTTTTGAACAGACCTCGTATCTTACCCGATCATACGGATCTCGGAACACTATCTATCGAGAATCTTAAGTTTTTCTTTTTCACTTTATGTTTCGGCATAAGTCCGCTAGAACGAAAAGACCAAACTGAAAAAAGGTTGAGGAAAAAATGTGCGTTTTCTGGGATAATGAACAGAATACAATGAGGCTGGTGCGCGCAGCGGGAGCCGTGGGGAAAACACGGGCGGCGTGCGTCACTATTTTTTAGCGGTATTTTTTGAACTCTGTTGTCTGAGCACGTGCAGGAGCACGACTACATAGTTCTATATATTCGAATCTATCCGGACGAGACATATCAGGGCATAATCTAAATTCTTATAAAAATGAGTATACTGAAATAATGATATTAAGAAAATAAAGCATTAGTAAAGCTGTAGGTAAGTTTAATATAAAAAAAAGTTTGCTCTATATATAAATTTAGTACAGAGTTTCAAGTTTGAATATTTATTTCATATTTAATATTAAATTATTGGGAATATAAATAAGTTTCCGCCGTTTGACAAACAATGGCGCTACTAGTATGTTACAGTTAAAATTGTCAGCTGTAAAACGTCATATCGTAAGGTTGGACATCTGGCAAGAACATAATCTTGAAATATTAGCGATTTTGCATCAGCATCTTATATCTTTTTTCGTGCGAAAATGTCGAGTTTTGAGCCGAATAAGCATCATTTGCGGGAGCTTTTGATTTACTTCTTTAATTTGAAGAAATCTGCAGCTGAAGCGCATCGATTACTTGTAGAAGCATATGGTGAGACTGCCTTAAGTGAGAGAAGTTGCTGTGAGTTTAAAAGTTTAAGAACGGTGAATTTGACGTCAAAGACAAAGAACGTAGTGGAAGGCCGAAAGTGTACAAAGACGCGGAATTGGAAGCATTATTGGATGAAGATTCGTGCCAAACGCAAGAAGCACTTGCACTTACATTAGGAGTGACTCAACCAGCAATTTCACATCGCTTAAAATCGTTGGGAATGATTCAAAAGCAAGGAAATTGGGTTCCATATGAACTGAAGCCGAGAAACGTTGAACGCCGATTTTTCACATGTGAAATGCTGCTTGCCAGACATAAACGAAAGGGTTTTTTGCACCGTGTAGTCACTAGTGATGAAAAATGGATCCACTACGATAACCCAAAGAAGAAGAAATCATGGGGACCACCTGGCCATGCTTCAACATCGACAGCCAAGCCGAACATTCATGGGAAAAAGCTCATGTTGTGTATTTGGTGGGATCAGCTAGGTGTCGTTTATTATGAGTTGCTCAAACCGAACGAAACCATTACTGGGGCTCTCTACCGAACACAATTGATGAGATTGAGCCGAGCACTCAAGGAAAAACGCGCCCACTACTACTCCAGACACGACAAAGTTATTCTTCTGCATGATAATGCTCGTCCACATGTTGCGGCGCCGGTCAAAACCTACTTGGAAACACTCAATTGGGAAGTTTTACCCCACCCGCCGTATTCACCAGACATTGCTCCTTCTGATTACTACCTGTTTCGATCGATGGCGCATGGCCTGTCTGAGCAACACTTCACATCATATGAAGATACCAAAAATTGGGTCGATTCGTGGATAGCTTCAAAAGATGAAGCGTTTTTCCGACGCGGTATCCGTATGCTGCCAGAAAGATGGGAAAAAGTAGTGGCTAGCGATGGACAATACTTCGAATAAAACATTAGGTACCGTTCTTTCACAATAAATGCCCAATTTTTGATAAAAAACGGCGGAAACTTATTTATACTCCTAATAATTATTAGCTAATGTAATTTTAAAATCTAATAATTTACTTTAGCATTATAAAAAAAAGTAACAAAAAAGTAACGAATCATTACTTTTGAAGTAACGGTAACAATAACGCGTTATTTTTTTGAGATAACACGCACAACCCTAAACCACTTACATTCAAATGACGCGAGATTATGTATACACAGTGCGACAAATATGTTCCCGGACACGAACCACATCTCAGCAACCAGTGGCAACATCTGTGCGTTCAAACATGCATTTGAAAGGTTTAACATTTCCCTATCTATCTGTCAAAGTTTCATTCATTTTGGTTGACATATAACGAAGATATCACAGTTCATGTTAAACAAGATTTTGGTCGAGGTAGAAATGTCTCTGGAATGATTGATTCTCATTGATTTTTGATCGCTTCTTAATGTGTGTGGAACAAACTTCGCACAAACCTTCGTTTTACCCAAATCTTCATGTAATATGGTTCGAATCGTTTCTCTACTGATATTTAAAGCCTCCTCCATCATTTTTAGTGACGCATTGCGATCGTTTGCAACAAAATTACGTACTTTTTCGATCATTTCGGGTGTTCGAACCAAAATTGGCCGTCCTGATTTTTTGTCATCTTCAAGGGTCTCTCTGCCTTCCAAAAAACGCTTATGCCACTCAAAAACAGCTGTACGACCTAGACATTGATTGCCGTAAATTTGTTGCATCAATCGGAATGTTTCTGATGCACTTTTACCAAGTTTTGCGTTAAATTTAATCACTGCTCTTTGTTCCATATTAAAATTTCTACCTCGACCAAAATCTTGTTTAACATGAACTGTGATATCTTCGTTATATGTCAACCAAAATGAATGAAACTTTGAAAGATAGATAGGGAAATGTTAAACCTTTCAAATGCATGTTTGAACGCACAGATGTTGCCACTGGTTGCTGAGATGTGGTTTGTGTCCGGGAACATATTTGTCAATAAAAACAATTTTTATTCACATTATTGTTTTTCATGCATATTAAAAACTAAAGTTAATAATTCGCAATCGATAAGCTGATGCTTGTCGAATATATCGCTATCGTGTATAACGTTCTTGTGCTAAACAACACTGTCAATGAGGGATAGAAATATAATATCATACTGCGTTCTCACAATTCTTTCTTTCAGTGCTAGAAGCGCCGATAATGATAGTTTTCTTGGAAGAACCGCGAGATCGATGACATGTAGCGACGCGTTAAGCGCCAATAACAATATTTTTTTAAAGATTGGTGACACGCTATTGATGCTCTGCATGCTTCGCGTGGTCACAGCTCTATACCTCGCAGAAAGAAATGTGAATCGTAATTAATCGTATCCACATACTACTAGTGTTAAATCTTGCAGGCACTGAGTTTTCAATGACTTTAAAGGACATGCCAAAATTCGAATGTTTGAACGTGGTATCGATCAACGTGTACGACATCGAGAATAAACACGTCCTTCCTCTACGCCTCATCGGTGACAAGAAGGAGAAGCACGTCAACATGCTATATCTGCAAGATCCACACAACGATGGTGTAGCCCACTTTGTGTGGATCAAGAATGTCCCGTCTCGTGAGATCGCAAATTATTAGGGACAAGAAGAAACAAATTTTTCTGCGATCGGTAAGTATAAAATTATAATTTTATACTTAGTAAAAAATTATAATTTTCTTGAAATAATAATAATAGTAATAATTTCTGTTTTTCAGATGTCTTTATTACTTCAGTACGAATAAAAAATTACAGTCACACGTAGTGGATTGTGGCAAAATGAACGACTACGCTATCCTATTGCTGAGCGAGGACGACAAGTGGCTCGAATTTGGGAACCACTACAATAAGGAACAAGTGCCGTTCATCGTCTATGCTGACCTGGAGTGCGTTCTACGTAAGATGGAATCCAACAAGAAAAACGAATCGTCATACACATGTCAACAGCATGAGGTATTTAGTATAGGTATTATATTACGTGCGATGATGCGTTATTGTCGTATCAGTTTTGTCGCGATAAAGACTGTATAGCATGATTCACGCGATCCAACTCCAAGACTTGGCGTACCGCGTGAAAAATATCATATCCGCTGACGTGCCCATAATAGCGTCGCCGAAAGAACAATAGCAGGCATACCATAGCGCGACGCGTTGTCACATCTGCGAGAAACCACGCTGGATGACGCGGGTACGCGATCATCTCACCGCGGTAGATATCGCGGTCCAGCATGCAAACTGCAATCTAAATTATAAAAATTTGCTATATATTTCGGTTATACTTCACAATTTATCGGGCTACGACGCACATTTTATAATTAAAGACATTGTTACTGCGTACATGTAGATTTCCTTCCTATAGGAAGGAAAAATACATTTCATTCACTAAACATGTCGATAGCATCAAAGATAAAAATAAAAATAACTTTCACAAAAATTATATAAAATTAAGGTTCATCTTTAAAATTTCTAAGTACGAGCCTCGATAAATTGGCGTCGTATATCTCGATAAAAAAAAACTAAAAATTATACTGTTAGAATTTTGCAAGCTCAGTGAAGGATTTCGATCTTCTTACACGTAAAGATGTCTTTCTGTACGAGTACGTTGACTGCGTCGAAAAGTTAGAGGACATGCGCTTACCATCGCGTGAATCATTTTTCGTTGACGGGCGACATCGTACCTGAGAGCGATTAGGCTCACGCCGTGAACGTCTGGCACCGATTCTCTATTCGAACGCTCGGCGAGTACAGTGATCTATACTTGAAAACAGATGTCTTGTTATTAGCTGACATTTTTGAAAATTTCCGCGAAAGTTGTATCGCGAATTACAGTCTCGATCCCGCGCATAACTACACCTTGCCTGGTTTCACGTGGGACGCTATGCTGAAATGTACGCGCGTAAGATTTGAGTTACTCATCGACATCGATATGATTCTATTCATTGAGCGTGGTATACGCGGTGGCTTCAATGTTCCGACAGATACGCACAGGCTATTAATAAGTACATGCGTTTGTACGACTCGTTGAAACCATCGTCGTATCTCATGTACATACTATAATATGAATAATCTGTACGGATGGGCGATGTGTCAACCGCTGCTATACGCCAAATTTCGATGGATCGAAGACGCTGCGAATTTTGACGCAAGTGTGATCGCTCTGGATTCACCCACTGATTATATTCTCGAGATTGATCTCGAGTATCCACAGCATCTGCACGATCGGCACACTGACTTACCTTTCTGCCCAACGCACGATAAGCCGTTCGGCAAGCGCAAGGATAAACTTCTAGCGACACTGTTCGATAAACAGCGTTATGTCATCCACTATCGTAACCTGCAGCAATGTACTCGTCACGGCCTTCGCGTAACAAAGATCCATCGGGTGTTACAATTCGCTCAGTTCGCCTGGCTCCGTGATTACATTGAACTCAATACGCAGTTTAGAACGCGCGCGAAAAAACGATTTCGAGAAAAATTTATATAAATAAACAACGCGGTATTTGGCAAAACTATGAAATACGTTCGAAATCATGTAGACATACAATTAATAACAAAATGGAACGGACGATACGACGCGGAGGCAATGATCGCGAAGCCGAATTTCCACAGTCGTAGCATTTTTGCGGAAAATTTGATCGCCGTCGAATTGCGCGAACTCGAGGTGAAATTCAACAAGCCGATTTACGTGGGAATGTGTATTCTCCACATATCGAAAGTCTGCTTGTACGAATTTTACCATGAGTACATGTCACCAATGTATCGCAACAAATACAAGATCATGTACACCGACAAGAACAGCGTCGAGTGCGAGAACGTATACGAGACGATGAAATGCGATATCGCTAGATTCGACACGAGCGATTATCCGATGGACAACGTGATCGATACGATATGTCTCTTGTGAATAAGAAAGTACCCGGCCTGATGAAGGATGAGAACAACGGTATAATAATGACAGAATTCGTGGGACTCAGAGCGAAGATGTACGTGGTGAAAATGGATGACAAGAAGAATACTAAAAAGGCAAAAGCCGTACAGAGTAACGTCGTAACGCGAATGATAACGTTCGACGATTACACCCGGTGTTTGAACGAAGAGATTGAAATGACTCATTGTCAATCATATATACGATCTAAATTACACGAGGTGTACACGAGGAATATCCGAATCGAAGATTGCTTTGAGTCCATACGACAAACGATACGTCGTACCAGACTTGACGGAGACGTTACCGTGGGGGCATTGGCGGATGCCTTTGTAATATATATGCATTAACATTTATATCACTATTATGTTTTTACATTTCTTATATTTTCATACAGTGTATATGTATTACTATTCTTATATATCTTAATTTGCACTTTGTGTCTGTTTTTTTACATTTTTTTGTAGATTTTTATATAGTGTTTGTGTTGCTATTATAGGTATATCATTATCATTATGTATTACTATTCTTTTTTATTTCATGTATTACTTTTATATACGTATTTTATATCTGTATACTTTAAAAAACAAAAATGGAAGGAATAATAAAAAATATATTTTATATGATTGTATATTATATAATATATTGATACATTTGTTATATCTATACAAAAATATATGAATAAAAATTTTATCAAATGACATTGTTTTTGTGTATCCACGAATTGTGTGTATCCATCGAATCCCAGCCACTTGACGTACACCTTGTCTCCTTTCTGCGCAGTACTTTCTCCACGAGATACACGTCCGGATGAGTAGCGCAATGCAACTCGTGTTCGTTTCAGCGACGGATTTTCCGCGATAGTCGTCGAGTAGATAGGTTACGGGATTGTTACGCTGCACTTTACCGATCGTAAACGCCTTGGTGGTCCAACTCTTCTCAAAAACCGTCTTATACTTGCTTACGCGTACCGAATCGCCTACTTGGAATTTTGTAGGACCCGTGATTTTTATTGCTCTGTACACCATGTCCAAGAGTCTTTTGGCAATCGCGGAAGTTATGTCGGCGGGTCGCATGCCGATGGTGCGATACTTGCGCGCGTTGTAATCCGACACGAGACACGGCAGTTCGTCGATCCACTTGTAATTGTCATGGAGTATAAACATCTTTCACATATCGTTTTTGAGTGTGCGATTGAACCACTCGACCACTAACGCTTTCAATGTTGAATACGTGGAATAGTGATTAACGTTGTATTTTTTTAAGATTTTCTGCACATCGGCATTGTGAAACTTCTTCCTCATATCCGTTTGTAAATTTTTCGGACATCTTCGCACAAATTATCTTGGCGATAGCGTCAGCCGTCTCGCTTCCATCCTTGTTCTTGAACGGTACGGCCCACGCATACTTGTCCAACACATTAATGACGGTGTATGTAGTGGTGGCCTCTGTTGAAGTTCGAGTACGGGTGCATCTCGACAATATTAGCTTACCACAGATTGTGGTATCCCTGGATTATAACGCGCCTTTGCGGAAAATTTTTTCTCACCGGAGCGTGCAATTCCTTGACTAGTCGACGTTTCTTGGAGCTAATTTTTCTCTTTTTGTTGGATCTCTTTTTCATGATACAATGCATAATACACAAAATACAAGAAAAAAATGTATTATTTCTCCCTGACGCCATTCGACTGGCCTGTTTCATCGATACGCGATTGAATTTATTATAATAAGACCAGTTTCGCGAAGTTCCTCGATGATTGACAGCTCGTTGTCATGAACGTTGTTGTCCGCTTGGTACGAAGCATCGAGCAATCGTAGACGATCCACCAACTCGTTGGGATCATCCCAATGCATGTAATCGATCGCGTTATCGTTCAGTATCATGGCGCGAGATAATCCCTTTCCAGATTTCTTCTTCTGTTTCTTGGACGTGATCGACACCAACGGTGCGATTATGTATTTGTACTTGTATCCTCTGCTCCTCAATAATTGATCCTGCGAATGATGCTTGTGTTTGTGCGCGTTCATCGCTAGCAGCATGCTCTTGTATTTGTACATATCGTCTTCCGTGTAGAAGAGATCGCTGGAAATTCTCTTGAAAATCAACTCGTAAAAACCGGCGTACACCGGCGTATCATACGCCATCGATAATTATGTTGTCCACATCGAAACGTTTATTGCCAAGCATCAGTCCATCTTTGTGTAGGTAAACGCCGTATACATCATTTATACCGCTCTCTTTATCTCGCGCTCCCCTCAGGACAGCCTCGACGTACTTTTAGCCCAGCGGGCCGAAGCCGGTTCGCAACGCCTCTCGACCTTCTGACGTTTGCAACCGATTTAGAACGAGTCATTGCGAGCGAGTCATCAGTTTCGAAAACGTTCTCCAACGTCTATCGTCAGTACAGTCGTCGTACGTGGGGTAGAGGTTATCGATGGTACAATCGTCGCATGCGGGGTGAAGGTTATCGGTTATTCACAGTCGTGCGATCGATCATCGGATTTACGTGGGGTCGCGGAACGCTCTAACGGAACGTCTCGTTCGCTTCCTCTTCCTCCTCCTCTTCCTTCTTCCTCTCACGCTTGGGGGGCAGACACGTCATCGTCACTACGTCATCGTCGCCGCGTCATCGTCGCGTGACTCTCTCTTTGTCGTGCGCACGCCGGGGCTGTCGGCGAAAAGTTGCAACGACTTGATAAGAGGTTTAAAATGTCTGTTCAATGTCCTTATCGATTCTAGCAATCTTTAAAGCGTAATGTTTCTTGCGGATCGAGTCACTCGTCTTCTCAATCTCCCTCGCGATTTTTTCACGCTCACGCACATCTACCACGTTCGTTTCTGGCGAAGTATCGACAACGACTGACCACGTTACGGTATCGCGAACTCGTTAAATCCTTTTTTGTTTACCGTTTATAAGGGCACTGCCCTTGTCTATCACTAGAAATCCATATTTTTATTGCAAACAGTCGCGGCACAATGTGCAAAATTCGTCGTACGACAGTCATTACGTCAGTATTCACATTGTAAACTGTTTCAAGTACCATCCTGTTTGAACAGAATCAACAGGTTCGCGTTGTCGGGTATTATTATAGATGTTTAGGTACTCTCGCGTTTGACAGATATAAAAACAGTCAACGTTTGCGTAGCAACCCATTGAGAAATATTCTCTCACCACATTCTGCTTATCGCATACCACGTCATCAATGATAAAAATAGAATTTGGCCACTTTTGGTGGAACGACATCGCTGTTGTTGGAGAACATAAAGCCAATTTCGTCGATGGATGTAAACAAATTTTCGAGATATTGATATTTTGGCTGTTGCAGCAATTTCGAGTAGACATACACGTTCTCGAAACGTACGTCATTCGGGCTCTCGAGTAA